TAGATACTCGCACCTCCTTTAATTTTTCCAGTTCTATAACCAGGTCATGAAAAATGCAAGTTTCCTACCGTCCTCTTCAATGGATGTCTGAACAAGTTAAACAAAATGTTATTTAACATCTGTTTCACCTGGTTAAATCTAAAGACTACTGCCCTGGCTCCTAGCGTTTCATTATTCCCAGACCTCATATAACTAATACGCTCAGTGGAAAAGACTGATTAGCCGAGGGTCTTCCGACCCCCTAGAAAACTCTATGCCTATTGGTGTTCATTTTTATATAATAAGAAGGCCATTAAAAAGTATACCTGTTAGGGAATAGCAGGCTTTGCTCTGATGAATATCAGCACTTTATATAGGAATATTCATGGTCATTACTAGCACTCCCCTGAGTTTTCCCGAGATAATTAAAGGCCTGGAGGCTCAGCACATAACACCACGAACAACTCTCAGATTGTTCCCTGAGCCCTCCAAGTAAAGTTGCCAGATTTAGCAAATAAAAGTCCAGGACATACAGTTAAAGTTGAATTTCAGATAAATGAGTAATTTTTTCCATAAAAGTATGTCCTATACAATATTTGAGCTAAGTTTTTACTAAAAAATTAATCATTATCTGAAATTCAATTTTACCTGGGCATCCTGTATTTCCCTGGCAACCTTATCCTCCAAGTTCTCTTCGGTATTGGCTTTAGTCTCTTCCCTAAAAGGTTTCAGCCTAAACAGCTTCGAAGAATTAAATTTCATCAAGCTTATCCGAACCCTATGAAGCTTTTATTTCCGCCATTTTGTAGTCACCAAACTCTAATTCAGAGAAGACCCAAGGGATGATAGAAAAGAGGGAAAGCTTACATGCATACCTACAAATAAATACATACTTACATGCATACATACATACATATATACATTCATATATACATGCATACATATCTACAGTCATACATACATGCATACATACATTTATTTTCTCCTTCAATAATTCCTTTTCTCCTGTGTCACTCCACCCTCAAAATAAAATACCAAGTGTCGCTGATGATTCCTTCGATTAGGCCTATTGTAGACATAGTTTACAGTACAGTGGACTCCTATAGAACCATGCTATCATTACTTCCTAAAATACCCGATGAGCATGCTGGCAACACTAAGTGCATCTTTGCCAGGATACATGAGGCCCAATGCAGAGAAATGCTACTGCCTCAGCAGTTCCCCGTCTATAGATCATAAGCATGTGCACATCCTGACAATAGGCCTGCCACATGGGAAGGAGGAGGCCATATATCACCTCTGAACATTAGAATTTATATTTAAACCCACCCTTGCAATGGTAGGTCTGGGAGGTCCTTGTATTAAACACAAATCATAAAATACTTGAAAAATGAACAGGAAAACCATAATTCTTCCTTCAATTCAACACCTCTACTGTCACTTCTGTTTGAGAATTTTTACTAGTTTTTGTTAAGTCAGGGTATGTGTGGGGAGGTAACAGAGTTATATTTAGCCAAAAAAATAATAATAATATAATTCTAGAATAGGGGGACAAAAGCATTTCATCAATGACCTAAGCAAATAGAATTTAAAAACAAAACCCCAGGTCATATTCGTTAGGTGGCCACAAATCAGATTGCTGGGGCCCCAACACATGACTGTGAAGGCTGATAAATGAAAGGAGTGAATCAGGCATTTATTCTCCCTTCCTGTACTTTACAGTGACACTTCCTATCTTTCAGGGTAATCAAATACTTAATGAAAGAAATTTCTTCTGTATAGGAAAATTTTCATAATAAATGCAGACAGAATAATAGAACTAAAAAAATCACCTTCTGCAAGCCCTTAAATGAAATAATGGATCTAGACAACAATAATCAAGGAACAGATATTTTAAATGGAGGAAGGAGGCTGACACATCGGTCTCCACTCATTGACCTTAGCATCATTTCAAGTGGGACAAACAGACCTTATGGCTTCAAGAAATGAAGCAACAGGAACTACAGAGCACTACCCAGGAAAGTCTTGCCTAAAAATTGGAATTAAATCTAATTGCACCTCTAGAGCATTATAGCATTCTCTCTACTTTTATGTATCTTTGAAAATTTTCATTTAAAAAAGTTTTAAAAAACAAGTATTCAGAATGTTCTTGGAATCTTTGCTTTGACCTTTGTTTTTATCCTAGGATACATTATTAGTTCCCTGTCCAGCCTAAGTACATTCACCATCCTGAACACAGCCAAGTCTTTCAACTGAGGTCTTCATTTTGGGCTTATTATAATAAACTTCAAGTGGGAGTTTCCCACTTGATTTAAATCATAGCTACTGATTTAAATCATCTAAAGGAGGTTGAACTGAATCTATACTAATTCCAGAATTCTTAATCATCGATCATAGTTTTCAGCGTCTTTTCACATACTAAGTATTGCCACCATCTATTTTCTTGATATTTGACCCTTTTCCAATAACTTTTTTTTTAAATATTCAAAACCACAGTGAATAGGAGTGGGAATTGGGACTATTAAAACCTTCTGGTTAACTGGCTTCTAGTTATAGGAGGCTTAAATTATACAAAAGAAGTGATGGCAGAGGATGGGGGAGTAACGATAGCATCCTGTAAGGGTGCTGCTTACCCACTCTTCCCATTCTGCATGACAGACTCTTGGCTGAAATAGAATCAGCTTGTCTACATGTAATAAAACTAAGTGAAGTTAACTTGCAACTTCATGAAGATAACTAAAGCACTGAGAAAGACTGAACTTTATTCACACCGAGATATAAAGAAAAGAGAGCAGGGTTCTAAAAGAAATATCTTTTTCTTTCTTATGAAAAAAAAAAATGCTGAAAACTCTTAGCCATTAAGGGTAGGGGACTGTGCTTATGATATAATCTGAATTGTTCTTTTGCCTCCATCTTCTCTATCCTATTCTTATTCCCCCCGGTCCACAATACAGTAGCTGAATTTCTCATCACTGTCCTTTTGTTAAACCTCTTCTAAGGCACTTCAGAATTCACTTTATGCGTTCTTATTATCAATCATTTTGCTGAGGATACCTTGCTTCCTGCCAATATCCTCTGTAACACACTGGCTGCCTACTTTCCATGTAAACTTCTGGAATACATTGTTCGTCTCTCAGTTTATGACGTGTTTTAGCTTATTACCTATCTACTCTCTGAGCTCTTGTTCCATATATCTGGCCTGTCTATGGCCAAGAAAAGAGAAGAGTTTGTTTGTTGTTTGTTTTTGTTTTTATTGTATATTTTGGGAGGGGTAACTTCCAGATTGGAGCCCTTACTGAAATCCGACATTTTTTCTTCCTTTGTTTCTGATCCAATGCCCTTTGTCTTGAATACACCCTCTCCCCCTCCGGCTGCTCTGTGGGAGAAGTATGTGTTTCTTATCATGCGATGCCCAATACTGAAAAGGTTCCAAAAGCGGCCATCCTGAGGTTGGTTTTGCTTTTTCAAATTCCGCAAATTACTGAAACTTTGCTTATGGCTAACGGTAAGGATCAAGGCTCTAAGCAAGAAAATGAAACCCAGAGCTGAGTTTAATAGAAAAGAATCCCTTTTCTGATATGAGTAAAATGAAGATCTCTTGCTTCTTTCTTTCTTAAATACTCCCTTTCTCCCCCCACCCAACCCCATTTCCTAGACACAATACAACTCAAAGATTAATACCACCAAGCCTCTGCTACTCAAGAAGTACAATAGGTAAAAGACTCAAGTTAGAAGCCTGTGAAAAAAATGCCATCATCTAAAAAGAATATGGTAAATTTGGAGGAAGAGATATAAGTGCTAATAGGTACCTATAGAGGAATGAGGGCAAAGAACAAGAGTCCAGGAGAATAGCCAAAGACTTCACAAGAAAAAAATAATTATGTTTCAGATATATGAGAACCAGAATCTATAATAAAAGTGAAAGCCAGAGAACAAGAAAATGGGTCCAAAACCAGGAACTATCACTGAGAGAAACAGAAGGAATGGGGCAGTTGGACAAATGAATGGAAAATCACCCAACTACAGATCTGATTAAGGTACTTCCTCCCCTCAAAGATTCATGTCTCCAGCCAGAGGAAGAAAGGACATCTAAAAGAAATTGGATAGACCATTCTCTTCCAGATGACAAAAGGGAGGCTAAAGATAGAATTAGCTCCACTTGATATTTAAGGGTAGAAGCAAAGTGAACTAAACAGCATTCATAATAGAAGGGAACCGAACCTGAAGAAGAAACTGTGGCCTGAAGAGGAGATAACTATCTGCCATTACCAACACAGCAAGGATGGGATTTAACGTTCTGAACATGAATGGGATGAACTGAATTAAGGCAGCCATATCTGTGGGCGGCCCCTAGGCTTTCTCACTCCTGGAGTCTTCAGTTCTGCATCAAAGCTTTCAGGGTGTGCTAAGCTATGCTGGGTGAAGAGCGTTTGTGGGGGGCTCAGGGGGAGGCTTGAAGGTAGGGAGGTACCACTGAGGTGGCCTAGGAAGATCAATTTTGAAAGGGAAAAAATATCTCCTTCTTTTCTAGAGAGAAAGAATCTACGGTTGGCTATACAATGGTAGCACTCTGTTTGAACTCAGACCTATGGCCAACATGTCTCTAACAGCTACTGATCACCTACCACATTCAGTGCACAAGCAATCAAAGTACAAAACAAAAGAAAAAAATCAAGAAATTGACATTGAAAAGAATGGAATGAAAGAAGGATTAATTTCCAAGTTGGAATATTAGTAGCCTTGGGTTATAAACGATATTGCATTCTATCATCTGATCTAAATACAGATTGTATTCATCCATACATAAAGCCAAGTATCCAACAAATAAGCATGCCCATTACCTACTATGTGCCGAGATTTGTACCACACTGTGGGAACATAATAATGATGCCCAACGTAAGTAGCTCCACCCAGTAAGGAACACGGGAAATTTTTTTTAAATCAATATTACGGTGCAACACAAGTACAAATTAGATAGATGCCTAAGGTACTATGATGACCCAGGGATCGTAATACTTTACCTCCAGAGAGGCATTCCGGTCATAGGGAACAGCATGTGCAAAGATGAGGACAAGAGAAACGGCATGGCATATTCATGAAGGGGCATGTAGTTCCCTGAGGTTGGAGTCTGGAAGCACAGGAGAAATGAGTAGATTAGGTAAGAGCAGAGTTTCTCAACCTCAGCACTATGAACATTTTGGACTATATATTTCTTTGTTGTGGAGGCTTGTCCTGTGCATTCCAGGATATTTAGCAGCATCCCTGGCCTCTACCCCCTAGATTCCAGTAACACACACACACACAGAGAATCAAAAATGTCTGCAGACATTGTCAAATGTCCCCTGTGAGGAAAAATTGACAAATTGACCCTGGTTGAAAATCCCTAGATTAGAGAGGTAGTAACGGGTCAATTCATGAATGGCTTTGCATGGATTTGGATATTCTTGTCTAAGCACCGAATATTATAAAAGAAACTGACATGACCAGATCTATACTGGAGACCTATCACTTGTGTACGAAGGCTCTGCAGATCGACAAAGCTCGAGTAAGGAGCCCAGTTAAGAGGAAGCTAGGCTACTGCGACGGTCCAGGCAGCGGGGCGATGCAAGGCTGAACGGAGGCCACGGCGCTGGAGCAGAAGAAGGAGAGCAGAAAGTAGAAGAGGGATGATAGGATGATGTCACGTCCTCCTCCCTGCCCTCTTGGTCAAAATAATAACCAAAGAACAAACTAAATCTTGAAATGATTATAACTGGTAAATAGATTTACAGTGTAGTGGTAGGAAAAATGAATACTTCATGAAGCTTTCCTGAGAACACATTACTGCTTTTACAAAAATCATTGCACATTAAAATTAATACATTCATTTATTTAACAACAACACTATTAACTTCTCGGCTACTAGAAAATAGGAGAAACTATGTGTAAACACATGTAGAGTGATGTGTATAAAATGAAATCATGAGACTTGCTGGGTTGGTGGCCTGTGAAATCTGAAGGGACCTCAATCTTCTCTCTCTTACTGCTGCTTCAGCACCCTACCCCATCCCAAGGACGAGGGAAAAAAATAAAACTTCAGGCAAACAATATTGCCTTTGTCAACGCGATGCTCTTTCTCGTACACAGTCAAGCACATCTGCTCGTTGACTTATATAACACCATATGTCCAATGATCTCAAACTATCGAGACCAATTTCAGAAGCCAATTGATTGTGTTTCCTTTGAGAGCACCTTTCCATGAGAAAATTAAAATGCCTTTTTAGGGATGACTGTCAGATCATGACATACATATATACCCCTGACCATTACCTCAGTTCCTGGGGACATTTGCAAAGGCGACGGCAGAACAAGGGTAGTTCATGGCAACAACACTGTATTCCACCTACTGTGCTGTCCAGTCAGACGGCACCTTTGGTGGTCCTCCTAACGTCATTTTCAGCCTAAATCTCCTATTCACCCTCTTTTTTATATCAGCTCTGCATGATTAAAACACAAAACCCTGTGTTTATGAGAGCCATCGTACAAACTGAAATTAGAAAAAAACCACAGACAGTGGGTTAGCCAGCTTTGAATATCACTCTGGTAGAAGAAGCGTTGAATTGGCTAAATTAACATTTTTCTCCTTTCAAGTCTTTTTTATTCCCCTACCTCTTCAATTTCATTTTCAGCACTCAGGTAACTGACTTATTAACCAATCTCTCTGGAGACCGCTGGTCTTTCCAGGAGACTGTTGCAGAAAAAGCTTATTCTGACCAAACTGGAACACCTCAGGAGACATAACATTTATAAACTTCCTGTCACCCAATGTGCTGTTCAGAAGCCATTCATTTTAACTTAATTTGCAGGACTGAAAGTCTCAAGCTTACTTGCCGTATAAAAAGTGACTTTTTAAGCTATTACCCATTATCATTTTGCCTCCTGCCAATGGTACAGAGTTAAAGAGCACAGCAGAGCCGGAAACCCTTTGTTTGTAGTTAAACGAAGAGCTCCAAGACAGTTCTTATCTGGAAGGCAACCATTTTCCCATCAAAATCTAATAATAATATCAATTTAGCAAGCTACTACTTTTCTTAGGGTGCTGATAGTGGTGATACACTACTTCAGGGTCAATGAATACTTCACAGAAATCTTTGAAAAATGTATAGTTTATGGATCATTTTTCCTACCAGCTAATTTTCATTTGTTTCTTCAAATATTTATCTGAGTTTATTCTTTTATTTACAGAAAACTTAAAATGCTTATCCCCAGAAAATGCTCGAACTGTTTATATAAGAAATTATGTACCAATTTATAATATGGTAATGGACAAACTAATCAAACGACTCGCCTATCTTTCTCTAGTAGAGATAACTGATTTACAACTAAATAATATCAATGCTACTAAGATCTTTAATGATATGTAACTTAGAATCCTGAAAAATAAATTAATAATCTGAATAATCTTGGCCCAGCTTGTTGCTGGCGCGAGGTCACTGCCACCCACCTATGACAATAATGCAGTAGGTAATTTTTGAATAAGAATTCAAGACTGTGACGTCACTATCCATTAAACTACGCAGATGAGTTAAAATTTTATATTTGGGATGAAATAACAGGATTCTTTTCCACTGACTTTAATACAAACTTTGAAACAATGAACCAATCTTCTTAAGCCAGACAAACAGAATCCCATCATTTGGATATTTATGTTGTATTCACTCTATTGTTCCCTGAATCTATTTTTGGCAAGATCACCAGTGGCCCGATTTTTGTTAAGTCCATCTACTGGACACTTTTAAGTCCTCACCTTAACTGACTTCCATCTTTTCTCTGCTCTTATGTTCTCTTCTTGGGCAACTTTTAGGGAGATTTCCTCAACTTTTCCTCCGAGGTAAGCTGGAAAAAAATGTTTTGTTTGAGTAATCATCGCTCTAATTTCCAAACGTTTTACCTCCTTCTTTGTATTTTTCATGTTCATAGCATCATGCTCATCTTTTGTGGAGACAACAGTGCCCATATCGTCTTATACCTCACTGAGGACAGCAGTCGCCACTGTTGTTGTTTTTAAACTATATTCGTTGACCTGAATTCTGTTTCTTCAGGGGTCAGTTTTCTATATCTTTTCTATTCTATTTTGTGAAGTTCCTCAAAATATCTTTCACTTTCTTTTACATGTTGTGAACTTCCTCAAACACAGGGCCGACTACGAGCAAAAGTCATCAACTCACAGGCTTCCCTTTAGGGGAACAGAGTGAGGAGGTGAGAGCCAGCTTTATTTATGAGCCATCTAAATGACAGAATGTGAAGGGCATTACTCCAGGGTGATAACACCCACACTAACAGCCCAAGTTCTCCCAGACTATGTGTTCAATTTATTTAGAAAAGAACACTCTAGGTTTTTGTTTTGTTGCTATTGTTTCTGCCTGGAGGAAAATACTTAGTTGCTAGACTTTCTGAAGGAGAAAGTAGATTGTGTCCCTATATAAACAGATTTTTCGATATTCTCCAATTCTCTGCTTTTTGCTAACTCATTCCCACTCTCAGTTACCTGTTCTCTGTGCTTATAGTATAAATCCTTTTTGGAGTATTCCAGGCAGCCTGGCTTCTTTCTCAGCTGCAACCTCCTCTGCAAATATTATGGCTGGAGTTTTCTCCACTCTGCTCCACCAATCCTTAATTTGCTTTCTAGAAGGAGAAACAGTACATCTGTCATTTCTCCTTATGTAAGTTGAGGCATCAGCATTGTCTCTCCTCTACTTGTCAGTCTTTGTTAACTGTATATGAAATTTGAAATCCACATAATTATTATTATTGTTTCTTGTAAAGTGTACTTTCTCACTCCAGACAGAGGCCATCAGCTGACATAGCTTTAATAATTTTCCAGAAATCATACCAGTATGAATCCTTTTATAGTTGACAATGCTTCCTTGTTGCTTTCACACATTAATAAAATCTTGGAGGGATGCTTTGGTTAAAACTTTTTTTCCTCATGAGTCTATTATTATCTAGTGCTTTATATTATAGAGGTTACGCTATGATTATCTGGTGTTAAATTTGTAGAGATGAAATCCGAATTCAACTTGATGTTTTTTCCTCTGTAAAAAAACTTTTGAGAATTCAGAGTTTTGCATCGATGTTTTTATTTGTCTATAAAATTCAAATGTTTTTGCCAGAACATGTCTGAAAGTAAGGCTTAATTTATTTTCTCTAGAAATTATTGAGTGTTATCAATGCTGACTCAATCTTTCATACATTTGGGAGAGTTTTCTTCTTCGCATCTTTTAGTATTATTTCAATAGCATTCGTACTGACTTTATCTTCAGAAATGCCATAGAGTCGTGGTTTCATTATCTATAACTGCCTTCCATATTGATCAACCTTGCTATTATGTTCATCTCTTTGATCATTTCCTCTGCATTCTAAACGAGCCTCTTACCTTTCCCTTCAAGGTAACTGATGCAATTTTTTGAAGTTTCATTTATGTTCCTTCTTCCTTCCAAAGAAGATTTCAAAAATATCCATTTGTTTCCTTTAACAGGCCATTTTTCAAAGTATGCATTCCATTTGTATCTTCAAGGCAATGGTTCCCATCTCTAAAGTTGTAGAAACTTTCCAAAGGCCCCAGGTTGGTTTAATTTATTTGTGTGTTCATCCTTTACTGAGGAGAGTTTTATCCAGTTCATCTCTTTCATGGATAAGATGTAAGTATTGCTCTTAATCCCCTCCCCTCTTCCTACCCTGCAATAAACACATCCTGCATTCTCTGTCCCCTAGATGCCAAAAGAATTCATCTCTCAGACTTTAACATGGGAAAAAGGTGATTATTTATACACACACATATACAGATATCCTTGTGGCAGATTGTACTTCATTTTCCAAGATGGTCTTGACAATATGTACCTTCCCACATGCTCTTCAATGATGTAACCTTATCACCCTCCCCATCAAGAGGTGGCATTAACCTTTCCTTGAATATGGGCAGCCTCAGTGATTCACTTATGCCAACAGAATGCAACAAAAGTGACTGCTTCAGAATTCTGAAACTAGACTATGTCAGAAAAGGCCATGCAGCATCCATCTGTTTAGTCTCTGGATTATCCCACTGGGAACCCAGCGGCTGGGCTGTGAAAAAATAAGCCACATAGAGAGGCCAGTTCTGGCTGACATTTTCGGTTGAGCCCAGCCTTCAAATTGTCCTAGCCCAAGTGCCAGACATGTGAGGGAAGAAGCCTCCAGATGACTCCCTCGGTCATTTGGAGGCCCCATTCATTGTGGAGAAGAGATTAACCATCCAAATTACTGACTCATAAAATCCATGAGCACTATTCACTGGTTGTTGCTTTAAACCATTAAGTGTTGGAGTTGTTTGTTACACAGCAGTAGATAACCAGGACAAGTTTCTAATAAAGTGTCTTATATAACACAGTCATGTATACAGTATAATTTTGATAGGTTGAGAAAGAATCAACTCTTAACCCTGCTGTTTGGTGTACTTTTACTAAAATGATGTTTTTATAGATGTATTTCATTAGAATCTCAGAAAGAGTTCAAAGATAGCTAACGACTCCTGCGTTGACCATCCTTTCTTATCTCTACCTCTTTCTGTGGATGACTTCACATCCCAGAATGCAATGTTCCCCTGTCTGACAGCTTCAAATGCCAGCCCTTTGCATGACTGAGGAGGGATGATAAGGAAGAAAGGTCATGCCCGCTTCAGAAAAAAATCCTCACCTGTGGCACTGAGAAGTATTCACATGGCTTTCTCACTGCTGAGGGCCTCATGTGGTATGCAACAGCCTTGGTGGGGGTCTCTTCCTGTCTTCTCCCTCTCTGGCCCTGTTAATCTGTTTAGCAGCTATGTAATGTTTCCACCCACCCCAACCTCACTGTGTTAGTGATATCCCCCGCAGTGAAGAAATTGTTTCCATGGCTTAAAATTTTTAAGGCACATGACTGAATAAGGTGTTTCCTCCTTAAGGACATATATTTTGTCACATTAGATCAACTGCAGAGTAAACACAGCTTGGCATTCTTTCTCCTACATAGTACCAACCAAAGAGGGTACCACAGGAAGTATAATTCACTCTCAAAAACCACTGAGTCTCTACGACTAATAAAAATTACACCTTCTGTGAACCTTTATTATTTTCAGCCCAGACCATATCTTGGGAGAGACTTATTTCAAAAGTTTATGACTCACTGTGTAAACTAAAGTTTTTTCTATTTGTTCTAAATTTCTCCTTTTTCAGGCTTCAAAGAGTCCTCCCTACCCATTCTCGTACTTTGGAATTTGGTGAACACAAACATATTGATGTGTTCGTGGCTTCCTCTACTTTGATCATCTCTCCATGCAGCCTTCATCTCTGTGGGTTGAAAGTCTTAATCTTCTTAGTTTGACCTCATGTTTCAGCCCACCTATTCCCTTAATTCTTTCATCTGCCCTTCACTGGCCCTTCTAAGAATCATATTTCTTTGTTAAGGGGTACTAACCACAGACACTATTTCAAGAGCAGGTGTTCCCAGTCTTATCTTTAACTCTCTCCAGTGAGCTATTCAATCAGGCATGCTTATATGTTTTCAGAAGGTGGGGCAAACAGGAAGGGAGATATATTTCAAAGTCAATGTCAGAGCACAGTTTGGAAATATTTTGTCGCCCAAATGATGCGAGGCGAAATTACTCCCTGGATTCCTTTAGTATCTATTCAAACTTGAATGGCAGGATTTCCAAAGCATGTGGGAGCTACAGCGGTAGGCACTGTAGAAAAACAAAAAGCCTATTTTTATACCCAATGTTCAGAGAGGGGGGAGACACACACACACACGCACGCACGCACGCACGCACACACACACACACACACACACACACACAACAGAAAAATGACTCTGAATTTTGTACATGGGGAAAAAATAAAATAGGATGGCAGCTTCATTTTGATATTTTGGTTCTTAGAAGCTGTTGTTTTGGTAGAAATGGGGAAAAAATAAACAAATGGAACAGAAGGTGTTATACACAGGAGGAATATAAACACAGACTCATGGCATGTTCGTGCTTGGAGGAGAACTTCAAAGTTCCAACTCAACAGGAGTTTCCAAAAGGCAGGCTGTGGACCAGAGATGGGCTGCAGCTGTGAGGTCCCCCCAGGGGGCTTGTTACAAAGGCCCTGAGAGCCTATGCCTGGAAATACTGACTCAGTAAATACCAGGTAAGGTCTGGGGAATCTGTACTTTTTTAAATTCCTCAAGGTAATCTGATATGTAGGTAGGTTTGTGAAACATTAATCCAGACCAGTGGTCTCCAAACTTTTAATTGATTGGATTTTCATTGCTTTTTGTCTTAGTAGCAGAATCCTCCTCTGAAATGAAATTATACATGAAATCTAAACATGTAAAATGCATCAGAGTGGCTGCCCTGATTGGACTGGCCAGTCAAGGCTGAGACATCCTTTTCAACTGACACCCCTACTGTGCCCCAAGAATATCACCAGAGAATTTTAAAGGTGACGCAGAAACAGGCTGAAGATGACTGCTCTCACCTCTTCCCTTAATTATACTGATGAGGGAGCTGGAGCCCAGAAAGGTGGCATCTTCCAAGACCACACAGTAAATCAGAAGGGGGGTCAACTAGAATCGAGAACACACTCCCAGGCTGTGTGTAGCCTCTCCTGGTGTCCATCAGCGGCTGCAAGAGAAAGCAAAGAGCAAGCATGAGGTCCACAGTCAGCCCTGTCACCAACACCAGATGAGAGACCCCTCATCTTCCTGGTGGTTCCAGGCTGTTCTTTCTCCCACAAGGGGGACTGCTTCCTCGCTCCATGGCTGCCCTCCCAAGAGTCCAAAGAGTCACCCTCCTAAGAAAGCCACCTCAGTGGTGACTCCAGGGCTTTCCTGTGGCTTCCCACAGCTGGAGCTCCTGCTAAGCCAGGAATGAAGCAAAGCCCAAACCTTTAACCCCCGCTGTGCTGCCCCTTATATCAGTTACCTGCTTCCCTCTGATAGGCTACCATCAGTTCTTTCTTTTAACAGAATATTTGTATACCTAATGAATATATGTAATATACATGTAAGTTATGAATGAAGCATAATAAAATAAATTCCTCGAAACTTTTACCGAACTTATGAAACAGAACATTTCCAGAAGTTTCCATGTGCTCCTCCCAAAGCCGTTCTGGGGCTCGCTCACACTCCTCTGCTGCTGTAACAACAATACTGATTTGGGGTTCTTTATCCTTCTGTCGTATTTACATAGCAATGGACCATACATGCCTATATAACTGAATATACTATCATTTGGTTTTGCTTGATTTTAAACTTTGAGAAGTAGCATCATACGTGATTATTCTTTTGTCTCATTCATGTTTCTGTTATTCATTCACATTGACGCATGTAGCTATAATTCATTCATTAGTCACTGCTGCCATGTATCCCACACAATGGGATCATACAAGTATACTGCATTCATTGCTAAACAAATAGTTGAGGGCTTCCCATGTACCAGGCTTTATTCTGGGGATACAGCAGTGCGCAAAACAGACCTCATGGTGCTTAAATTCCAGTGGGGGGCATGCACTGCATAATTTATTTATCCTATCTTCTATCGAGGCACATTTGTTGTATTTGTTTGTTTGTTTGTTTTCTTCCAGATTTTTTGCTATTACCAACAGTGCTGCCATGGACTTGCTGCAGTCTTCTGAGCTGGAGCGCTGAATTCCTCCCAGGGCAGTGGATCTCAGTGCTGAGGGCATACACAACCAGCTGGGGAGCTCTGCAAACCACCAGCACCTCGGGTCCCACCCCCAGAGGCTCTGTTTCTGTGCACCTTGGGTGGGGCCTGAGAACCGAAGTGTTTTTTAAAAGACTCCTGTGTGATTTTAATGGGCAAACTGCTCTATAATGTAGGTATGAGTCCCTTCACTGACTTCTTTCATGCTTCCATTCCTTCTGCACCCAGAAATCTTCTTAAAGAAAGTACCAATTCAAATGACATCCTATCTGTTAAGTCTACTATTACTGCCCCTTTCCACGTCACCCCCCACCCCAACCACACACACTCACTCAGAATCACTCAGTTCCTCTTCTGTGCACACCGTCATCTCATTCATCTCCACTGTGTTACATAGGTTTGCAGGGGACCACTAACATGCTGGTCTCTTTTATAGTCTGAGAGTGATATGATAGACAGGCTGTCTCATTTGTCACTGTTCTTCCAACACAGCGCCTGGTGCAGAATAAATGTTGGCTGAAAGAATAAATAAATAGATGTCCAATGCTTTATTAGAAGTTATAGTCAAAAATTTAGGAAATGGAAGTGTAACAAATCAAGTAAGGACTGGGCAGAAGCAGGGAAGAAGAAGGAACATCTATAGTCAAACTCCCTTGAAAAGGGAGCCAAGGTCATCATAACCTATCACAGCAGCTAATAATAACATTAAGAGCTTAGAATCCTCAAGATGCAATTTACAACACAGTAAACATTAGCTAGGAAGCCCACAGAAGTTTCTAGCTTCACTGGAGACTAGTAACTTTCCAAGACATCAGTAGGCTAATTATTGATCATTGTACCGCCTCCCAAGAAAACGAAACACAGCCTGTTGTAGTAAAAAGAATATGAGTTTGGAAATCAAAACGATTCATTTGGTCTCCTGACACAACACAAATAAGTTAACTATTCTTTTTGAGCTACACTTTGCAAATCTATGAAATGGGAATATTTATAACTCCTGGCTCATAGGCTTATGTAATAATTGGAGAACACCTTGTCAGTGAAAGTTACTGTTCACCATGTGCCAGGCAGTGTGTTGAAAACCCAGGCAGTGTCATCTCACTGAGTCTTAGGTGGTAGGTGCTCTCTCCATGACAGATAAGTTAACGGACATGCTCCAGTTCCCATGACTGGTGATCCAGGATTTGAGATCAGATCTGTCTGATTCCAAACTTTCATTTCATCAGTTCTTAGATATGTGTGGCGGGCATGCTCCTTAACCTTTCCAAGCCCAGGTTTCCTCTTCCATAAAGTATAGAGACCAACAGCAACTACCACGTTGCACGTATTCAATGAGGTGATCCATGCAGAGTGTTTAGCACACAGCTTGGCACTAAGGGCTCAAAGACGTTGATAGCTCTTACGACTACCACCACCACTGCCTTTGTTCTGATTTGGTTTTTTAAAATTCTCTGTCCCATGAAGGACATCACTATCTGCCCGATTGTCCAATTCAAAAGTACATAAATAATTCGTCATGACATCTCCTCTCTGAACCTTTACCTCTCTGAACCTCCATATCCACTCACCAAGGTCTGTCAGTTCTCCACCATTTCCCGTATCACTGCCACTCCACTGCCTCAGGTGAAGGCCACTGTCACTTCTCACCTGTGGTTTGTCAACCGCTTCCCTACCGATCTCCTTGTCTGCTATTCCCCAGTCCTTCCATATGCAATCTCCATACTTAATCAAAGTGACTTTCTAAGACAACATCTCATTGCCACACTCCCTTGCTTAAAGCCCCTGACAACTCCACAAATCCTTGAAGATAAACTCTAAACTCCTATGTACATGAGGTAAAGTCCGGCCTGAACTAGCCTGACATCTGTCCCTCTCCAGTCTCCCCAGTCCCACCTCTTACCATTTTGGCAGACTTAAAAACTAACTCTCTCTCTCTCTCTCTCTCTCTCTCTCTCTCTCTCTCTCTCTCTCTCTCTATCTACCTTTCCAGTTGCTCAAGCCAAAATCCTTAGAGTCATCCTTGATTCTTCCCTTTCTTTCACATCCTGTAATCAATCAATCAGAGAATGCTATTGGCTTCACCTTCAAATATATCTGGAAGCTTGCAACTCTCCACTTCTACTATGTTACCTTCATCCCTCTTCTGGATTGCTGCAACAATCTTGGGACTCTCTTATTCTTTATTCAGAGTCAAAGTCCTCACAATGGGGTTCTATGCAATAAGGCCCCTTGTTACCTCTCTAAGGTCATCTCCTACTATCCTCTTTTGCTTACTCTGCTTTCATTTCACTGGCTTCCTTGCTCCTCATCAGACACACCAGACACACCCCTACCTTAGGGTGTTTGCGTTAGCTGTTCCCTCTACTTGTAATACTCTTCTCCTTGATACCACCTAGCTCACTCCCTCATCTCCCTCAAGTCCTTACTCCAATATTACCTTCTCAATAAGGCCCGCCTTAACTACCATCATCTCCGCCCTCCCAGGAACTCCTAATCTCCTGTACATTGATATATCTTCTTTTCTATAACACTCTATATAATTTATTTATTTGTTTGTTTGTTTGTTCGTTTGTTTATTATATTCGTTGCTTGATTTTCCTACTAAAATGTAAAATCCACAGAAATAGTTTTTTAGAATCTTTTCTGTTCACTGATATATTTCTATTATCCAGGATCAGTGCCTGACACATAGGAAGCACTCAGTAAACATGTGGTGACTGATTATTGAATGAATGCTTCCCTTTTTCAGTACTTCCTTTAGGAAGAGGTAGGTCTGAAAGAACCTTGTTTTACGTTTTGTATTTGTCTATCCCTAGCCTTGAATGTTATAATTCTCATGCATCTCTGTTTGCTTTTTCCAAGAATATCTCATCTTTTCACCTAAAGAATCTCTTTTCCTCTAGTTAATCAATCTTTCTTTCTCGGTTATCATTCCTCCACTATACCTGTTCAACTAGCTATACAAAAGCCTGTTTTCCAGACCTCTCTAGACCCTGCCTGACTTCCTGAGCACACTTGATTCCTTGAGATAGAGTGGCCCAGACATAGGCTTTGTGGATTGCTTTCCTGGCTTCTCAATCTGCAAAAATTCCATTGAATGATTTCTCTACAGCAACCCAAGAACATGGCGTATTCTCTCTATATTAAGGATTCTTCTTTTTTTTTTTTTTTTTTTTTTTGGCTTTTAATAAAACCTAACATCTCTTTATAAGTGAAGGCACTATTTGAATCCTCCTACAAGTTTAAGTCCATGGCCAAAGCTGATATAGTTAACAATTCAGAGCCAAACTGAGACCCTATAGTAGACACGATGCTAAGGAGCCCATATGAAGAAAATAAAATCTAAGAGGTTAGCTCCTCCATGGCCATCCCCCTGGGCCTGAAGATCAACATTAGAAGAATCATTATTTGGAGCAGTCTCATCACTGAAAGCCAGTGCTCAGAAGGGCACAGGGATCTCGACACCTTCCAGCAGTTCGAAGTTACCCCCGAAAATCTAGCTAAGAAAGAGGGCAGATTCCTACCACAAAGGTGAAGAGGTTGAGCCAGGTGTGCCCAGGTGCTCTCCAAAACACTCTTCTCCTTCCATTTGTTAAATGAACAGTTCAGAAAAAATACATTTCATTCTAACAAGAAAATCGCTTTTACCTGACATACTCAGATTACTGAGGCTGAAGTCTGAGTGCTATTTTATTATTTGGAGGCTTAAATTAGCCCAATATTTGTTGTGGGACCCCCTTCACTTTATGTCTGGAGACAGAAGCACAGGCTGCGAAACGGCAGGTGTTACAGTTAATAAAAGAAACCACTGAACGCAATGAGGCATTTGAGTGTTTTCTCGCCGATAATTGTATTGTTTCAGAATATTCCTAACTAACAATCTAAGATTCATTCGTGCAAGGAAAAACTACATTTACAATTATCCCAAATATACCTCCCATAGTGTTCCCGCCATTTCTCCAAAATAAAAGCTCCATTCCTTTCTCCCAGGAAGCGTGTGCCCTTTTGAATCATAAAAATGGATTTCATCACTGTTCGGCACTAGACTAATGGTTTTAAATTTTTGAGTTGTGCTGCAGGAGAAACTGTGTGCTTTCATATCGCATTTAAAAGAACGTTTCAAAAGGATTTTATGGGACAAAGTACACACACACCCATGCAATGAGATGAAGCTGCCGGAGGGATTCAATATATTTTAGAAAATACAGCATCGAACTTTGATGAAAACAAAATTAAAATGTCTATTAAATACAGGGATTCTTCAGTTAACATCTCATTCATGTCATCTTATGTGAATTTTTCAGATAGTCAAACTGATAATTTTTTAAGATTTGCTTTAGAAAAGGAGTTCTAAAAGCATTACATACATCCCTGCCTTTTAAGTATAAATATATTAACCCTCAAAATATATATATATATATAATATATATATTAATCCTCAAATGTTCTCTTTGCTGAGAACTTTTCCATGACCTATCTAATAAGTTCGCACAAACTGGAGGTCTGACAAGGGTATATTCTTTGACCCAGCTTCCTCCTCACCTTTATTTTGTACCTAAATTTCTTCAAAGTGTGGTCCACACTCTCCTTCACCACATCCTCGCTTCTTATTCCTTCCTTGACTTGCTGAAGGCTGACCTCTTTTTCTGCCAGCCTCCTGACTCAGGCAAGCAAAAGTTCTCTGTTCTTGAACTCTCTGAATTTAACCTCAAGGCCTCTTAAAAACTCCTTCTCTAGTTCACTGGCAACTACCCTCCCTGTTGCCTTTCTTTCAGTCTGACCATTTCCTCCCATGATCCTCCATAAAACCTCTGGTGTTTCCAGAGTTTTCTTCTGATGTTACTGCTTTGCCTTCAGCAATTCCACACCCTCCCTAACCACCTCCATACTCATGATTCCCAAACCTCTATCTTGGGCCAATCTGAACACCTTCACTTGGACACAGGCATCTCTAGCTAACGAGACCCAAGCTGAACTCATTGTCATCCCCCAGTCTGTTCCTTCTCTTGGCCTTCACATATCCAAAGGCTGACTTCCCTGCCTGCAATATCAGGCCCAAGACTTCTAGATTGATGTCTCGGCTTCATTGTCTTTTCTTTATCCCTTCTGCTAGTATCTTAACTCAGGCTTCTATTCTTCCTCCTTGGAATTGTTGCAACCGCCATTTAACTAATCATCTTTTCTCTCTCATCTTGACAATTTTACATCTACGCTCCTGCTGCCAACAAAGTTATTAAAGATCTAAATCTGATTTTGTCATCTCAGCTTAAAAATCCTTCTCTGGTTCCCCAGCATGTACGGAATGAAGGCCAAGGTCAATTGAAGAGCATTTGAGGTCCATCTTAATTTGATTCCTGCCTACCTTTTCACCATTACTTGTCACCCATCCCCACCTCAGAATCTCTTTCAGCAATTTATAGCCACTTGTAGTTCCCTAAGCACATGAAACCACTAAAAATTTGCTTCATTATACACTCAAGAAATATCACATTTCTTTTTTAATTTTTCTAGATAAA